GTTTAACTCAGAGACATCTTCGATATCATTAACAACACAAATTATTGGATAGTTTCGATAGGACACTATTTAATTGACGACTGGCAAAAAACAGCTTTGGCGAACTGCCAAGATGGCTAGCATACTCTCTGTCGACCTTACGTTATAAGGCCGAGAGGGAGTATACCTTTTTACTTTTTTATATATTATCTGCATTGATGGAAAACGGGGGCCAATGGAGTCACGATGTTGGAACCTTTTCTATTTGCAATTTGCTGCCTGTAAATGCTGTATGTTTTCGGTCCGCCACTGCGCCTTATTTTTAGAGCGTGCTTATCGCAGACTTTGGCTTCGCTGAAGAAAAGTTGTCAAGTAGTCACTAGGTTGAAAAGTGCCGATCATTTAGCTTTTACATTTTTCCTTTTTGCGAAGGATAACGAAGGATTTAATGCTTTATGTACGCCACTGGGCGGAAGTTGTTTGTTGTATCTCAGGGCAATGCTGGGCTTCACACCAGTGAACTCAGATTTGATTCCGCTATGACTAGTAATCTGGAAAACGTTGACATCTGAAAGGAAGGCTAAAGGAAGTTGGCTCCATACACGTATACAGAAATTCGGCGCTAGCCAATCCCCATTCTTTATTGTTGACATATCACATGCTGCTTGTGGGGCCTCAGGACTGCATAGGAGAAATAACAGGAACAGCGTCACCATATAACAAAACGAAAACAAAGTGCTGTTACTTTAGATATATTTTAAATAAAACAGACTTAAGCATTGAAACAGGATCTGCAGCCTCAAAAAACTCATCGTACGCATTATAGCGGTAGTACTAATAACACATTTTCTCTGTCAAGAAAAAAATTTACTTTAAATTCGGACTTTAAAGACGGGGAATATCGCATGGCAAAGACGGCGTCCTTTACGCCCTACTACAAAGTCTTTCGCCGAGAACAAAAGGTTGTCCAAACAGCCGCGATAGATGAGCCTTCTTTGAAGGAGGACAAGTGTTAGGTGAGCTTAAACCCCTTTACGCGAAACAATTGTTGTTGATTGGTTTTTTGATATCGATGCGAAGTCGGTATCATAACTTTCCTTTTCTGTTGGTCTAGATAGTATCCTTGGAGTAACCATGCCGTTTGCTAGGTTACCATTCCATTTAAAGAACTGCAAAGGAATACGAGAATACTCATCCTAGCTAAACCTATTAATGGGGGCAGGTCCCTTCTTCTGAAAGAGGTGATCTCAAGGATTTGTTTACAAAAAAGTCGAAAATGTCAGAAAATAGTAATTTAGACACGAACACCTATCATCCATTTACCAATGTACTATCAATAACACAAGGCACTCGCCGTTTGCCTTCAATAAAGTCACACCGACGCGTGATGGTGTTATACGAAGAAAATCGGCAATGGTATCTGCCCCCTTTTGCTTCAACGACATTATGGGTAGCCTATGTAGCATTATCATTATCACTGTATCAATATGGGTCAAATGGTCTTCTATGGCTAACTTTACTTTCGCTCGGTCTTCTCCGTGCTTGTAACTGTACAGGGGCAAAAAGAATAGAAACCGGTGCATCTATAATACTAATGCGCCATTATTATAGTTATATATCACACTTATTACAGTATACTTCGCTAGCTTAGACGTCCCTCGGATGCTTGATACTTATCGAGTAGACAACATTGAAAGATTCACTAGTATTTGGCCTTGTCTTATACATAAAGTATCGAAACATGGACAATTTTCATAGCGACGGCGATAACTTGAAATGTACGATTACTTACTTGCTTGTCCCAAATTCGTAGGATAAGATGTCGTTAATGCTCGGAGCACCAGACTGTGTCTTTATCGTGGTCAGGTCGAGGGCCAATCCTCTTAGCAACACCGTTTCTCTTAGTACTGCGGTTCGTTTAAATCAGATCGAATAGATAGACAGTCTGTGTTGAATCACTGAACGGCCTACCGCAGCAGGCGCTTTTCTTATATAGTAATAATAAGATTACTAGAGTATGACGTAAAACTGAGTCTCTTATGTGCCAATAAGTGCAGGGAAGAATCAGGCAACGAAGTTCCACATGGCTGCTGCTGACGGTTCAGGCACAGTGTTTATCTACTATTTAGAATTTTCTTTAAACAGAACTTTATTTCGGGAAAAATCACGCACACACACAGATTGGTCTGTCGCGCTTTGCAGAACTCTAAGCCTGTCCTTTTGAAAGCTTTTGTTACCCAAAGAAACAAGCAAAGATGCGCTAAATAGTAAACCATGACCGACAGTATCGCAGTATTTCTCGCCAAAGTCACAGTCCTTTTGCCCCAAAAGAAAAAGACAGAGGTGCCAAATTTTATGGGCTTACTGGCCACCATACATCGTAAAGATACCACCTATGACCGAAACAGACCGGGAAAGACCTTACGCGGTTTTTGGGGTATTTTTGTTTTTCTCGCTCTTTACGAACGCCTTTACCTGAAACGCCGCCTTTCTCTAGTAACGTTCTCTTGATTTTTAGATCTTCCTCTTCACACAGCAAGAACCAATTTTTTTTTGTTTGTTGTTGTTATTCAGTAAGTGTTCTTATTTCGATTTATGTTCTGTTGAGTCCCTTGGGCAGAGAGCCAAGTGATCTGCGGCTTTTTTTTATACTCAATGCCTGCCGCTATTGTGTCTGACGTTTCTAACAAACGTGTCTTACGGGTGGTATGACCCAGTCCCTGCTATTATTGTGAGTGCTTTACTTGGGGGGCGATGCAGTTATATTTCATCTGTTCGTGGCAACAGAAATGATTCGCATCATATCTAAAGGAAACAGCTGACCCTCTGGTGGTAAGCTGAAAGAGTCTAACCAAAATAATACAGCCAAAAGTCAAGCTCCTACTTGCCAATTTGGCATTCGACTATTTTCAGTCATTATTTCAGTAGGGGTTAATCGTACGAGACGTTACCAGTACCAGTATCAATACGGATTCTTTCTATATGACGGTAACGCCTCAGATTCAGTGAGTGACCCTGAGAGTGGTCGCTCTGGGGGAGCGTCGGGTATAACTCTGCCCCCACCCTGCCCTGTTTTGCTGAATCCTCCCATTTAGCAGTTGAGTCACAAATGCAGAAGAATTACGCTAATAATAGCGTACTACAATCCTAGAATATTTCAATGTTATCATTCAAGACGCATTTTAAACGAATCCTCCGGTTAGCAACAGACAATAGTTCATCGTTTTGGTCTGATTGTCCTGAGGGACGTTTAGTGGCCGAATCGCTCAGTTAGCCTCTGGTCCGGGCGTTGCATCTTGGCTTTACTTCAACACAATCTTATTATTACACTAGTCGCTATTCTGGTCCTATTAGCAGCGATCTAAACCACGGCGACGACGAGCCCTGACAGATGGCTACTGCGGACTGCGAAAACGGCGTCAAACTTTCGCCGACCGATAACATCGCCGTTACTTTGTAATGCGGATTATGCACAAAGCAACAGCCCACCTCACATGACGCAGAATGAGGCGTCACCGTTGTTGTTGTTGTATGTCTTTGTTGCTACTTCTGTTGTTATTGTTGAATGTAAACTTCTATGACTTAAGCTCTGTCTGAGTGTTAAAGCTGCCATGGGCTGAATGAGTAGCGGTAACAGTAGTAACAGCAACGCGTGAATTGTATAAGAGTAAGAAGAGAATTAAACGTTACGAGAAATTCAATGTCGACGTTTTACTTGTGCTGTCGTAGCTACGCTATGTCTCCTTCGTTTGCTACCGTTGATACGGATGCTGCTGCTGGGCGTTTAGTCTGGTCGAGCCTGCTTAACACCAGCAACTTAACACGACTCAGAAATGATGACCTCATCGTCCTGCGCGGCTTCTGATACGTGTCAGTCTGATACAATATTTTAGTTAGCGTGTTGTGTGTTCATGTATATGTGCGCAAGAGGAATAAGGGGTAGACTCTTTACACACATGTACAGATACACACAACAGCAAAACACTACCCGCAGACTTTCTCTTTTTTTGACATGGCACATGACCACACGACGGGCTGCCGATAGACTATATATAGCTGGTCGCGCTATGGGGGTAGGATCACATATACAACCGTCATAGACCACGGATAGCAGTAGTACGAACCAGCAGGGGGCTGGACACGATATCAAAGGCGGCAGAAGATACGAGTTCGCACTACATACGGAGTCGAAAAGGGTGGGCTGAAAAACGCACCGAAGCTAACGACAGGGCGGAAATGGTAAGAGAGCATTCGAGAGTTGCTACTGAAGCATTATACATCAAATAGAAAATTACCATAGAAGAACAGCCCAGAAACGATAACCGGCAACAACGGGGAAATTGCGTTTGTTATGATTATGCAAGGAGCGTATTTGTTACCGAGCGTTTTTGTGGTTTATGGGAAAAAGCGTGCGGCGATTCTCAAAATTAGCGGGATACGTCACGTCAAATAGGAATATGTTGTTTACTCTGCATTTTCCTTTTCTACAGTCAGATGAATAATCCTAATGTGACGAATGAATCAATGCTAAACGAGGACATATTTCATGCAGTAGGCTCGAAGTGACCTATGTACTCTGAATCGCACGCTATTGTGGCGTGTCAGCCCAAATACCAGTCGTGGAAATATCATATTGTAATAATATCATATATTGGTCGTATTTTCTATGTGAACTTGTTCACAAACGTTCAAAAACTATAACTTTTTTTTTTTTAAACTATAGTGCTCAGCACTCGGATACTTCCAATACAATTACGGGAGCGCATCTTATCACCTCCTAGAAATCGCTACCAGATAGTCCGCCATTTTCGTAGCAATAATTAGCAGGACAATTGTGAGCCTTACGTCTAAACATGAGTTCTGAGGATTCCACCCTAGTGCTAGCCTACATCTCGCTTAATATTAAAGTATGGCCACGTTACATTGCATTGATTACTTCTCGGCAGCTGTACTAGTAGTACAACTAACGATAGTTTTGCTAAGCGTTCAATTTTATTTATTTATTGTTTACGTGTCTTAAGCATAAGGTTACAGTGCTCGTCTCCCTTCTGGGTGTCGTTTTGGCTGGCCCTCCAGGGTACAGCGGACATACCCAGGCAACTTACGGACCACCATCTCCATATGAATTCAGCTACAGCTCACAGGACTCTGAAGGTTCACACAGTCATAGCCAAAACTCGGATGGACGGCGCGTACATGGCCACTACATGATTCAACTAGCGGACGGTAGGAGCCGTAAAGTGGAGTACCACGCTGACGAGACAGGGTTTCATGCCAAGGTTATCACCAATGAACAGGGTACGGAATCGAAAAACGCTGCGGACGCCACATATCATTCATCAGCGATCAAAGGCGAACAGGCCGCGTTGCAATACGAAGGACAATCAACCAAATTCAGAGGTGATAGGAGTAGCAGAGGACATTTCGCAAAGGCATATACTAAGTGGTCTTAAATAAACGGTATGCATCGGGCATAGTATGAATTCAAGTGATACAATTTTAATAATAGTATAAGTAGCTAAGAATAGTTGCTCGAGTCGTCACAGATGTAGGCAAATGCACACGAGGTACTTCATTCTCCTGGGAAAGCCCAATGTGGTGCATAATACATTCGCAGATTGCCTATGCAAAGGAGGGCAAGTGACAGCCAATGGCGTCTTGTATTTTGCCATTATAACAATGAATAAACGTTTTAATTTAATATAGACATAAATCCATTAAGGTTAGTGGTTCAATTAAGTCAATATAAATTAGTAGCGTTCCCTTTTGCTGGCCCTTAAAGGATGAGTACTGCCATACCGACTAAGAGAGAACAGTTATTGCTCCAGACAAGCTGCCTATCAGAAGATTTTGGGGCGACGGCTCCAAGAACAAGCTTCAGGGCTACATGCAACAATTTTAGAAACGATATGTCTTCAATCGATGCGCACATATTCAAGAAATTCGAAAGCTAAATGAATAGGAGGGTACAGTCTAATATATTGCTATAGTCTAATCCCATCAATGATATACTAGAAATGGTAAGATTGGCCTGTTACCATCCTATGTTCGTAAACAATGGAAATTCATATGTACTTTACTGAAGCATGCAGAACAATGTGCTGCTTTAAGCCTTGCCTACGGCAAATAGTACGTAAGCTGCACGAATAAATGAAGTTCTTTATGCTGTATAATAATATATAGCGATGCGTTTTAGAAACGTAGTTGACCCGCCGTACCAACGGTTGATCGCTATCATATTATAATAAATAGAACAATTATATGAAATTGCATTTTTTCTAAAAAAAAAAAAAAAGATGTACATATGGCACATCTTCTATGAAAAAATATCAGATCACGGCCACGGTATGACCGATTCAAATGTTCAATAATAATAATAAACAATAGCAACAGAGCGCATAATAAGGGTGCTGCTTGATCTTTGATTGTTTATATTTCTTTGATACGAACCAAGGCGGATCATCGTACTCGGAGCTATTGGCACGTCTCTAACGTGTTCGTATTTAAATAGCACGCAGAAAAAGTAAACGTGCATAGAACATCAATGATGCATGTCTGTTACTCTGTTGAATAGCCTCTCCTGGCGAAAGTAATACGAAATCAATTGTTTAAATGCGATTGTAAAATGCACCAATGTCTTCAGTGAGTGAAGACTATACTGGGACAATCGACAGTGAACAGCACACGAAGTCACTAGATGGATCTCTATAGTGAGCCGGTGTACAAGCATAGATAGAACGTATATCCAGACTCTGGCTAGTTACGTACTTTCCAAAAGAGTTATTACCATCGTATTAACTCCCGAAAATAATGCTTTACTATTTTTTTTTTATACTACTACAATGTAAGATAACGTTGTAGAACCTGCCTCGGGTACGTCATCAACTTTTACGGCGGTGTGTCTGTTAAAAATGATTAAGAGAAAGTTGATGCCTGATAGACGCAAACGGATGGAACTGGAAGTGTTGCAACTGCGACGTCCCATGGTTTTGTGAAGTAAATATAGAGGATAGCGTGAATAATCGACCTAATCGAAGTGGGTTTTCGAAATTATCAATTTGTTACTTCTGGAAATAGTGATCTATAAAGATTATTAGATACGCTACCTTCTGGCGTTGCGGGTTTGAGAGACATTGATTAAGTAGTTAGTCAGTCTACCGCTTACAACGATTCCAGAAGTGTTAATGTCTATCGTTTGGCAGCAATTTTTGCCACAATGAACAACCCGTTGACAAGTCTAACGCGTACATATGCAATAGTACACAGTATTTCGTAATAATAAGTAACTTTTACCAACGATGTTATATATAGCTAATTAGAGAATCAGCCTAAGCTGTTTTAGAGGACAATACGTCAATTGACAGCTAAACTATTTATAGATTAATTTAAGTATGTAACTTATTTACTCTGTGTCGAGTCGTGGTGTTGAAGTTCCAAGGCGAACATATGATCACGCTGTTTTGAAGCCGTAACACAAGACGAGGAAATAGGCGTACGTTTAATAGAACTTCAACTTAACTCTTAGTAGGTAGCATTCGCAAAAAGCACGAATAATTTACCATTGTCTTATTACTTGAGGTATCATTTCCCGCTTTGCTGTATGATGAATGAAAAACATCCCTGTTTAGCTCTTGAAGTCCTCCCAGTAAATGGGCAAGCACAACGACGGCTTTTTTCGAGGTTTGTTTGAGACGGAGTAGGTGTAAAAGGCGCTACACTCAACCATGATCTACATCTTAATTCCGCTTCACGTTTCCCTTGACAGATATGCAGCATTGCTCACTGCACTGTACTCCATGCTTGAGACAGAGAAAGATCGTTTTTCTTTTAATATTGATACCCGTAAAGATTACTACTTATAGAACCCGTTTTAGGCTTCTAAATGTTCAGTCGAAGCCTATAGAAGCTGCCCTCTTTGCACGCACGTTATTGTCGTGCTGTCCAAATGCATAGAAGCTAAAATATGGCCTAAAAGGAGAGCGTGCCTGGTTTGAGATCAAAAAGCCACATTCGGTCTCGGTGGCTATATCAAAGCTCATTCTTTCCCAAAGCTTAAATTCTAGATATTAAGAAAATTAGGTGGCAAACCTAAAATATCAGAAAAACAGGCGGCTTGGTAGTAAGCTATTCGGAGCAAATCTATTTGAGGAGAGCTTTCGAAATGGTTTCACCGAGCTCAGGTAACCTTATCCACACATGTTAAAGTGCAGTGTTGAAAATCAACTTGGTTCGCCCGGCAAAACATCTTTTTAAGAAGCAAACATAAAATTCATAGAGAAAGCTCTAAAAACGGGAGTTTTATAGTTGAATTGAAAGTAAGTTGTCATCATCGCTTAACTGCGAAGCTGTTAAGTGCTTTACTCCCGCGAGTATCAATAAATCTCTCAGCGGCACACTTAAAATTAGATACTACCATGCCATAGGCCTATTGCGTGGCGCTGGGGCTAATTGTGAAAGAAAGATTTTTGAAAAACTAAATTTGATCATTTCGTAGCGCTTCGTTTAACGAAAAGACTCCCTTTGCTTTGTTCACTTATGAAATATTTTTTCAGCAGCAGTACCTGGTCTGACATAAATAAATACAAAATTAATAAATGAAATGAAAATATTAAAAGTTTAATGACTTCCACATTGGTGAAAAGTAACCGCAAAACTGAATTAAGTATCAATAATTCTAGCAATTTGAATAGGGTTCGTGATGATGCAGTAATAACGTGTTTGCGTGCTACATTGCGGCACACATGAAACTTCTAGGTTCGAAACCTGACGTAAACACATTTCGCTTCGTGTTGGAAGCCAACCGTCTAAAGCAATTCTTAGTGGATTAAATAGCAAATAAAAAAAGAAGACATATTTAGATAATTTGGGCAGCCAACCGAGTCCCAGTTCAGAGTCAAATCCCGGATCCTGTAGTTATGTACTTCGGCTCATAACGTCTCGTCACCCTGACAAACTTGCTTCTACGATATCTTACGAGGAAAATTTAAAAAAACAAACAGGCCTCATTTTTATTACACATATATTCGTCACTTAATTCTATCCTAACCTTCATGTCGCAGTTGAGATAGGGCTCGGCACTTCTATTGAACATATCGACATTTGCTGCTAAATCGTCGGTTTCAGCTGCCGGGTTTCTCACCCTGTCGAACTTTAAAAAGTGCTACTTGCTAACAAAAGGCAAAAGTCCTGTCTGTATAATGTTAAATCTACGCTGTAAACTTAACTTTTCTCCTGTCTGTATCTTATAAGGACAGCAACGACGATTGCCCGGTCAGCAGGCCCAGTTCTATTTTTCTCCATTCTTCAACTTGTTTATTGTGTTCCCGTAGCTGGATATCAGGCAAAATGCCCTTTTCTTAGATGAAGGACTACGAAGAATGCCCCAACAAACGTGTCGCACCGCTGGAATTCAACATAAATTTCGATCAATACCGACGAAAACAGGTGTTTAGTCAAAAAGGGTGATGTAGTCGCCAACACATGGTGATGTCCGGTTGACACCTTCCGGGGCAATTTCTGTCAGCCACACGCATAAATGATACAAAGCAGAATTGACGTACAAAGCGAAACTATGGACAGACGACACCAGCTCTTACCTGTTATTGTCGAAGCAGTAGCACACACAATCTATCTAAATTTCCTTTTATTTTATCACGTATAAACTCTCTAGATAAGTGTCTGTACGTTGTTCTTTTGTAGTGTAGAGCGGTTTCGTGAACAGGTCGTTCCGCTCCAGATATATTAGAGCTGGTTTCAAATAAAAACAATGTTACACCCGCAGTAACAATATAACACTCTCATAAATGACATTTTGCGCATGAATGTACGGCTACATTTTACGGCCGTTGCGACTGACAGAGTTGTTGCTCTGGTCTGTAGAGCAAATGCAGAAGAACGATAAACTGATGTTAATATTTGTTTCCGTTTGAAGTCTTTCTAATTGCAAATGAATTGGACCAGCACGAGTACCAATATATTAATATTATATATTATGCACGACTATAGTAGGGTTTCAATTTTAGTGTTCTGTGCATCTGCCAAAATGTGTGTTTATCAGGCCGACATACTATACAATACAATCTGTGATAATAGCGTTTTGCGAAATGG